TAATGATGGCGCTTGGCTCTCCGCTTGGATTCACAATTTCTCTCGCATATACGAAGTGACGCTTTTGGAATGCGGTGTGAATAATTCGGTGGGCACCAAAATTAGCCGTCAATTAAACTCGACCCGTGGCCAGGATTACAGGAAGATAGAATCCGTAATATTTCTCACAAGGAAAACGGCACACAGGAAGACACAGAAGCAAATGTAGATGCAGAAATAGAGGAAATAGTAACAGTGTGTGTGGGATGATAATGAAGGATGTAGTTTTAAAGAAAAATCCATCTTGCATGAACAAAATATGGCGATGTGACCAAAATGAAATGATAAACGGTCTAAGTTTGGTCACCCCTTGTGCACGCGGGCGTAGAAGCCAGGCCGATGATCTCGAAGGATGCATGTTTCGCAGTTCTTAATTTCCCGTGCCAACATGAAAAATCATTCAGCATTAACCAGCGAAGTCTGAGTAACTACAACAGAAGGCCTCTGTACTTCGTTCAGACAAGAATTCCAACAAGAATGTGAGGGAAACAAAATAAATGAGTGTTGACTTTCATTTGAACAAATGCGCAGATGCAACTTCCTAAAATCCGGCAACATTTTGCATGCGGAGGTCGGTTTATAAACTCTTTGCAGGGAGTGTTATTAAGTGTAAAAACGTTTCCGCTCAGATCGCTGGGTTTGAATGTACGGGCAATTAAACAGTGAGCGCAATTGCTGTATCGAAATTTATGGCCATTATAACAACACTAATTACTTTACTACGACGTATAAAAAAATTAAATCTACTTACATTCTTATGTTTCACGACGGATTTATTTGTATATCAATTCCAAATTTAATCTAAATCCTTCCAGAAGTAGACGTTTAAGAAATTTATCCATATGTGTTATTTTTAAATGTCCAGACTCCGTACATCGTCGGTCGGAGAAATGGCATTTTTTTCTGCGTTTTTAAGGCACGTTATTCACGTTTTCCCGCCAAAACTGGAGGCTGTATAAGCGATTCTTGATTTCTTTTCGGAAAGTAGACGGACCCCGTCACGGTTGATAAAGAAGATCTCTGTCAAAATAAGATGCTACAAGGAATTTGGAACCAAGACCCTGGACAGGGAGACAGAGAGAGCACGATTTTGGCACCAGTTCACGACGGTATTAACAGGACGTTCATAAAACAGAATTTGAAGATTCATTTCGAGTCCCTGTTTATTTTCTACTGCTGTGGAGTTCCGTCCAAACAAAGAATCCAGTGCGGCACTCGTCAGACGCCTTGCGTTGTGCAAATCTTGCACACGTCGCTGGAAATAAATGACGATTAGAGTGGAAATCCTCAGTTCTCTGACATTGGATTTAGAAGAAACAGCGGTGTGGTTGTTGGGATTTACGAGAAAGACAATGCAAGGGTGAGCTGCCAACATCTCGATTTTGAAGGACTGAGAAGTCTCAGAATTTGCTTGCATTTGCACGACTGTCAATTAAGTGTTCTAAAATTAAGCAGGTTCGCTGTAGAGCTTGCACTCGGTCGTCCTCATTGCAGTCATTCAATATACAGGGTGTGTCATAAAATACAGCGGTACGTAAAGCACACTTCTTCTTGGATGACGAGTGGTGCTTGGACGGTGACACGTAACAGCGTGGCTCGATACAATCCTTTCGAGAGATATTCTTGGCAACAAGACAACATTCTGTTTCATCTCTACGCGTCTGACACAGAACATTTCCGGAGAAGCAAATTGACAGACGAGGAACGGTTCATTTGGCACGGAATTCGATTCCAACGCCCAGAAAACAAAGACAAGGAAACGTAAAATATCATAAAAAGGAATTTTCCTCCGTACCTCCAGAAATGCGTCAGAAGACGTGCGTCAAATCTGCTCTTGAACTGTATAAGCGCATTTATCGAGATTTGTACAGCTTTTAAAGAGATCGTGCGTTGTAGATCAACTTATGAGCGGCACTGTACCAAATATTCTGAGGGACAGATACGTCGAATAGCGTAGATGTGAATACGTTGCCCACACAAAACAGATTTCCTTGCCTGCGTGCTCGAATGCTTCGTTGGTCTATCGCTTTTCGTGGGCGCTTTGCAGCACATTTTATGAATTTCAATTTACATGAAATTGCAGTCATATTTCAGAACGTTTTCAAGAAATAAACTATCGTCTACCACAAACACTGGGTCGTAAAAAGTTTGTTCTAATATTGGAATAATGTCGGTGAACAGAGAAATGTCGGCTAGCTGGCTCAGCGCGCAGCCAAGGAGGGTGCAACGTTAATGAATTACATTTTCATAATTTTGCTCATCGTGTTGGTATTTTTAGCGCTGAAGGACGAGTTAAAATTTCCCTGCGTCTAACACGTAACCGTCGTAATCCGTTTACGCTGTCTTACTCAGCCTTCACAAGCACGCCGAAGGCTTCGCGTTTCTTTTAACCGGCGGACGGACTGAATTATTCACGAACTCAGAAACTTCCATGAGTGGGAGAGACGGTTGACTTGCTGGATGTGGGTCTTGGGGATTGTGAAGCCGTGTGGACTTGTAGTTAGATACCGACGTTTCGGAGGGGCATACTGCCTCCATCTTCAGGACTGTATGTTCCTCCAAAATGTTGGTCATCTACCTACAAATTCGCAAGGCTTCACAATCCAGAAGACCGACATTGATATCTTCACGGACGTCAGAACCTCAAATCTCAATTCACTTGGTGACTTGAATCATTAAAATCGAACTGCGTGCATTTGCTAGATCCACCAGCAGAAAATCTGACAGTCGCTTAGCTAGTTTATTGCCGTGTCCGTAAGAGCCCGCTATTTCGCTTATCCTCAGACAGATTGACCGAGTTCACGTCTTTTTTCTTTGAGATCCATTTTAAAAATATCCTCCCATCTGCGCCTAGATCTCTTTCCTCATTTGCTTTACTACCATTCTGTTCGTATTTCTCACCTACGTGCGTGTTACATGTCCACTCTTTGTTGGCCTGTTAGGTTACACGACAGGTAAAATTCTAGTCTCTGAAAATGCTTTAATTTTTAAGTGTTTAGTTTGAAGGAACGTTCCCAGACTTTAATCTGAGTCTCACCTACATGCGTGCTACATGTCCACTCTTTGTTCGCCTGTTAGGTTGAGGTACGTTTCCAAACCCGTGTTACACGACAGGTAAATGCTTTAATTTGTAAGTGTTTAGTTAGAAGGAACGTTCCCAGACTTTAATCTGAACCTGTCTGTTCTTCGTGATCTGTCATCGCCATTCGCAAATATCTGAGCTCCGCCACATTTCCCACGGATTTTAACGATTTCATTCCTGTGTTCTGATGACGAGACACGAACGCGCGCCTTAGATTTCCCTGCGTTAACTTCCTTGTTCGTAAGTGCAAAGAATTGACATAAAGGAACCAGATTTGTGTGGAAGGAACGCGTGCCCCAGAATCAATGCTACGGCTTGTGACG